TTCTTTCTGTCTTTCTTTCTGTCTGTCTTTCTGTCTTTCTGTCTTTCTGTCTTTCTGTCTTTCTTTCTTTTTTTCTGTCTTTCTTTCTGTCTGTCTTTCTTTCTGTCTCTTTCTTTCTGTCTGTCTTTCTGTCTGTCTTTCTGTCTTTCTGTCTTTCTTTCTTTCTGTCTTTTTTCTTTCTTTCTTTCTTTCTTTCTTTCTTTCTTTCTTTCTTTCTTTCTTCTTTCTTTCTTTCTTTTCTTTCCTTCTTTCCTTCTTTTTTTCTTTCTTTCTTTCTTTCTTTCTCTTTCTTTCTGTTCTTTCTTTCTTTCTTTCTTTCTTTCTTTCTTTCTTTCTTCTTTCTCTTTCTTCTTTCTTTCTTTCTTTCTTTCTTTTCTTTCTTTCTTTCTTTTCTTTCTTTCTTTCTTTTTCTTTCTTTCTTTCTTTCTTTCTTTCTTTCTTTCTCCCTTTCTCTGCCCCCTCCCATGTTTTGGGGACTCAAGTGCATGCGCCTGAATGTGGCAGTGTGTGCGTGTACGTACTTGCCCTGCACCCTAATGACACTGGACATTGCTGCCTCTCACTGTCAGTTGCCTGTCCGGCTGGGTCCTACTACCACATGTCCAGTGACCAGTGCCTGACCTGTCCGGTGGGTTACTACCAGCCAGAAGAAGCCCAGTCGCGTTGTCTGACCTGTCCAGGCGACACGGTGACAGAGTTCCCGGGTGCTGACAACATCTCCATGTGTTTAGGTAATACCTCGTCGGTAAATCATCTTTCTGGTCGTCATAATAAATGTCATCATCATCATCGCCATAATCATTATCATCGTTGTGGTTTCATCATCTACATCGCCATTCATAGTGGTGGTCATCACTAGCAATCGTCATCAAAAGCTGTCTTCATGTAACTCACAGAAGACTAATGCCGTTGATGACCTCCCGGAGTGAAACGCCCCTGCTATTTTGAAAAGTCCCTGTTATTTAGTCAACTGTAAGTATGCTGATTTTGTTTCCTTTGAATCGGTATCTGTTGTTTTTACTTACTGCATATTACGCAAAACGAAAGCTTAATGGTTGTTTAAATTTTATATATAACGAGATGGCCAAACCACTTTATCGAGAAACAGCTGATCAAGTAGTTTGGCCATCTCGTTAGAATGCAGCAAGATCAAATACCATCACAAGCACTGCATCTCAGAAGATCAGCTACAAGAGCAAGAGGACGGCTGCGGAAAAAATAGATCGACAACATTAAAGACACTCTAGGCCTTCCCGGCATGACAATAGCCAGTGGCAGCCAGCGTGCACTAGATGGCAAATTATTTCTCCATCTACGCCGCTTAACGGCAGAAGTGGTTTATGATGATGATGATGATGATGATGATGATGATGATGATGATGATGATGATGATGATGATGACGATGATGATGATGATGATATATTAAAAACAATTATTTAAAGAACATGATTAATAACATTCAGCTCAAATAATTTCAACAACCTTCCCTAAACGGTTAGAGAGTTACAGTTTTTTAAAGCTGAACACGACTTTTGGAACGGACTATAGCTGCCACTCTTCCTGCGTCTCTAATTCATTTGTATAAAGGGACTTAACTTAGCTTTAAGAATGTCCTTTTTTTTTTATTTGTTATCAGCTATTTCCCATTTAGACTTCGTATTACCAGTAGTTTCAACTTTCCTTTCATGGGAAGTAAAGGCGGCCGGCGAGATATTAACCACTTCGCCCGCCAAGTGCCAGTTTGTCTATAAAAATGTAAGTCTTGTCCTGTATGCCCAAAACGCCCCAAGGCGTGCAAGAGGGTACTCTACTTTACTGTTTACTTTGAATTTGCTTTGACTTCCGTAGATTTTCCAGCGCTGCGAAAACTCTTCTAGTCATGTGTATCCTTATTTCTTCTTCTTCTACTTCTTCGCGGTCACCGGATGTAAACTGCAGTCGAAAGGTTTGGTTGTTCGTCTACTTCTGAACGTTAGTCTGGTTCTAGTACCGGAATTTTGAGTTCCTGTTCTGTTTACAGATCTGGCTTATTTGTAAACAAGCTGTTGGTTCCATCGCCTGTCAGGCGGGTGCACTCTGACTTCGAAGAAAACACCCCTTATTAGTCTACTCTTACGACATGCTTGTTATAAGAGCAGGGGGTTGTATTTTAATGTTTATGTCTGGATATCCTCAGCAAGTTTTTTTTTTTTTTCTGTACAAACTGTAATTTCTTTTTTTTTTTTAACCGCTATCTGTATTTTTTTTTTTTTTGGGTACTTTTTCTGTTGATTAATTTTTTTTTCCAAATTCAAACATGTGTGTGCAGTATATAGTTTGCCTGTATTGCATTGTAAGTATTTGTACGTCTGTTTACACATGTTGCCTTTTGTAAGTATTGCGTATGTTTTTTTACAAAATTCACACATGTTTAAAATTCAATGATCATACATACATACATACATACAAACATACATCAAAATTATAATCAGGCTTTCTGTGTCTCTAGGCCCGACAATTGACTGACTGACTTTCTACCCCACCAGGACATCACACAAGCGATAAACACCCGATGACACAAAGTGACTGACTGACTGACTTTCTACCCCACCAGGACATCACACAAGCGATAAACACCCGATGACACAAAGTGCCACCATGCGGATGAGGATCACCGTGGAGAGGTCCCGGAAACCGCGTTCAGACAATTGGCCATAATGATGGCCTGCCTATATTGCGGCCCCTGGCAAAAGCCAGAGTGGTGCTTCAAATGGCAAAAAATTTCGTCCTAAAAAGGACGTAAGTAAAATGTTTTTTTTTTTTTTTTTAAATATTTCAACAGCATGACTGTTTTATTCTGCCAATATTCTCATAAAAATCCTCACAGAGTCTACATGCAATGTGCCAAATTCACAATCCTAATAAAACTGATCATCCATACACTTGAGTGAAGAATAAAATCATGTTTTATCACTGCAGAAACTGCGACTGCTAGCAAGACTTCCCTCCCCTGCATCATTTAAATTTGTTTACCGCATGCCCAGGCACACAATCTACTGTAAAGTGTTGAAGAGAATCCAGGAGAATAATAAAACCTTGCTGCAATCACCAAGTTCTCATGTCATAGTTGGAGGTCATAAAGATCTCATGCATGCTCTTTCTCTTTAGTGTTGCTTCTTTCTGATTATAGGCCCGGCCATTTTGTTTAACAAATCTTAAATAAGTTGATCTTCTTGACATGCTCGGTGAAGAACAATTATTGCAATGGCAAACTACCGGACGTAAAATTTTATAGAAAAAAAAAAGAAAAAAAAACACCGGCCATACAATCATAGGGTAGATCAACCTTAAATGAGTACCATGAACAGTCCTAGGAAGTAAAGTCGACCGGCGTGATGCTGAATTTTACTTTGACACTTAATTCTTGTTGGTCTGGCAGCGGTGTGTGAACGAGGTCAGTTCTCGGGTACAGGACTGGCTCCCTGTCGCTTATGTCCCCTGCACAGCTACCAACCGTTTGTCAGTGCTGCGGCCTGTGTGCCGTGTCCTTGGGGGAGGAAAACCCTGATACTAGGAGCTGTCAATGTGCTGGACTGTCTTGGTAATTATTGTCGCTGTTTTGTCTTCTTCTTCTTCTTTCTGTTCTTTCTTCTTCTTCTTCTTCTTCATCTTCTTCTTCTTCTTCTTCTTCTTCTTCTTCTTCTTCTTCTTCTTCTTCTTCTTCTTCTTTTTATTCTTTCTTCTTCTTATTATTATTCTTCCTTCTTATTCATTTTTTCTTCTTTTCTCTTCTTCTTCTCCTTTTGCTTCTTCTTCTTCTTCTTTTTCTTCTTCTTCTTCTTCTTCTTCTTCTTCTTCTTCTTCTTCTTCTTCTTCTTCTTCTTCTTCTTCTTCTTCTTCTTCTTCTTTTTTCTTTTTCTTCTTCTTTTTATCTTCTTCTTCTTCTTCTTCTTCTTCTTCTTCTTCTTCTTCTTCTTCTTCTTCTTCTTCTTCTTCTTCTTCTTCTTCTTCTTCTTCTTCTTCTTCTTCTTCTTCTTCTTCTTCTTCTTCTTCTTCTTTTCTTCTTCTTCTTCTTCTTCTTCTTCTTCTTCTTCTTTTCTTCTTCTTCTTCTTCTTCTTCTCTTCTTTTTATCCTCTTTCTCCGCTTTTCTTGCCCCTCCTCCTCCACCTCGTCACATTTGTCATCTCTTTTTTTTTCGCCTTATCATTCCTCTGCTGCTGCAATAGATCTCAATAAAATTAGCAACACTGAACAAACGATTGGGTTACAGTAACAGCTCTATACAACAGATTTGGTTAAAATAACAACTATTCATAAAATATCAGGTTAAAATAATTCTTTTGAAAACATTGGGTTAAAAGAAACTGCAAAAGAGATTGGGTTAACATAACAACTCTGTACACAAGATTGGATTAACATAACAACTCTGTACACAAGCTCGGGTTAGCATGACAACTCTGTACACAAGATTGAGTTAATATAACAACTCTGTACACAAGATTGAGTCAACATATCAACTCTGTTCTAAGACTGAGTTAACATATCAACTCTGTACACAAGATTAGGTTAACATATCAACTCTGTACACAAGATTGGGTTAACATATCTACTCTGTACAATAAACTCTGTACACAAGACTGAGTTAACATATCAACTCTGTACACATGATTGGGCTAACATTACCACTCTGTACACAAGATTGGGTTAAAATAAGAACTCTGTACACAAGATTGGGTTAAAATAAGAACTCAGTACACAAGATTTGGTTAAAATATCAACTCTGTACACAAGATTCGGTTTAAAAAAACTGTATATGGAATATTGGTTTCTTTAACTGTGAATAAAAGATCGGACTAAAATAAGTCTGTAGAATCGGGTAAATAAAAAATATATATACTCCTACAAAAGATCATGTTTAAAGCAAGAAATATCAAGTTAAACACACTTCTGTCGTCGACAGCGCCAGTTTAAGTGACCACTGCTATTTACGGGAAGAATTATCATCTTCTCTTTTCCCAGACGTGTGTCTTCCGGGCAGCTTTAGCGAGACCGGCCTTGTGACGTGCCGGCCTTGTCCGGAGGGAGCCTACCAGCCAGCCCATGGTGCTACTGAGTGCCTGCTGTGCGAAGATGGCTTGACCACTAACAGCTCTGGATCAGCAAATGCCTCAGAGTGCTTTCGTAAGTGTGTGTGTGTGTGTTTTTTTTTTTTTTTTTTTGTCTTTCTTACTTTCTTTCTTTTTATTTATTTTTCCTGTTTTACCCTTTTGTTTTTCCTCTATCTTGTTTCATTTTTCTGTCTTTGTTTATTTTCTTCATTTTATTGCCAGACATATTTCGCTGTATCTCATCAGGTAGCGAAAAATGCCTGGCAATAAATTGAAGAAACTGTACGCACTTCGGTTAAATTTGTTCAGTTTTGTGCTTTATTTGATGTTGATGTAACTCTGTAGTAACGCACCTGATGAGATACAACGAAAAATGCCTGGCAATAAATTGAAGAAACTGTACGCACTTCGGTTAAATTTGTTCAGTTTTGTGCTTTATTTGATGTTGATGTAACTCTGTAGTAACGCACCCGATGAGATACAGCGAAAAATGCCTGGCAATAAATTAAATAAACTGTACGCATTTCAGTTAAATTAATTCATTTTTGTTTATTTTGTTTCTTTTTTTTTTTTTTTTCATTCCGTCTGCTTTCTTTTTTTTTTTTTTCTTTTTTTTTTTTCTAACTTGAAGGTTGCCAGTGATTTTTTTTTTTGGGGGGGGGGGGGGGGGGCGGGGCTGATTAACTTATTTGAGTGTCGTCTTTTTTTTTTTAATTTTTTTATTTAGAGAAGTTTAGGTTTAAAGTTGTAAACACTGAAATCTTAAGAAGTTTTAATAATTAATGTTCTTTTTTTTTTTGCGTTCGTCTTTAAACTCAAGAGGCAAGTTTTGGTTGTTCGTCCACTTCTGGACTGTAGTCTAACCCCAGAACTCGAGCTTTTCATGCATATCCTTTTCTACAGTTTTTTTCTATTGGTGTGCAGACTGTTGTTTCTTTGCCTCTCCGGCAGATGTACGCTGACTTGAAGGAAACTCCCTAAATTATTCGACTTTTCTGATGTGCTTTAAAGGGGCAGTGGATCTACCCCTACCCCCCACCCCCCCCCCACCTCCGCCTCACTTCTTTTTAATAAACATGGGCTTTGGAACCCACACCTGATAGTAAAATTTAAAAGCCGATTGGCCAACTTTTATCAATTAATAAACTTGAAAAAAAATTTTCTCCAGGGACACAGATGAGTATCATTTATTTAGTACATTATAGTCCTGTGTAGTCACTTCATAGCTAGTGCATATTTGTGTATGTAGGCTGTATTTTTCTTTGTGTGCTGATAAAGGCTTAATCTCTGCAACGTCATTTGTTTACTGTGATCGATTTTGTAAAGCTAAATAAACTATTTGTTCTTTTTTACCTATTTTCTTCTCTTCCCTATAATTTTTTTTACCCTTAAAAAGAATCAAATTATAGATAAGGTTATTAAATATCCCAACAGCGTGGGACGCTTGTTTCGCCAACAGAATCACGTGTAACAATGGAGGACACTGTGCAGCGCAGAACAACGCCATTTCCTGTCTGTGTGCTCCAGGTTTCTCTGGCCAGCACTGCGAAATCAACATGCCAGACTGTTTACCCTTTTCATGCCAAAACAACGCCACTTGTGTGGACGGCATCAATGCTTTTACTTGCCACTGTTTGTCAGGTTTTACTGGTAAGTAAGTCAGTTTTTGTCTTTTTGTTACATAGACAACTGGTACACATCGTTATCGCCGACCCCCCTTAAAAAAAACTGCAAATGTTTGTCTTTATTATAACACTTTTGCGTCTTTGAGATAAAAAAAAAGTAAAGATCCCATCGGGTGTGAATGGGCAGAGCACCCATATTTTTACAGACCAATCGGTACTGAGTGGTTAATGTGGTCAGCATTACGCAGGCAGTCTTTACTTCCCAAGACACCCATCCTGGTACCCATTTTAGGATGGGTCGACCTGCGACGCCCCGTAACATGATAACAACCCTAGCAGTGGGTTACGATCGAGGTACGTTGGAATTACGAGTCGGACTCGCAACGCCTAAGCCACGGACGTTTGCGATATTTTAGCCTGAGGATATACGGCCGCATGGCTAGTGCTGTCGCCAAGACTGTGCAGGTGAGGATTTTTGTTTGCCCCGTAAAGAAAAACAAAATTCACAGCCTTACCGAGGATTCGAACCCTAGTCTCCCGCTTTAGGGCCCAGCGATCCAACATTTCGGCCAGTCGCTTCTATATTGCCAGCACTATCATAATTATGAAATCGCCAGTTTCATTATAATTATCTTCACTATTTTGTTTTCCCATTATTAGAACTATCACTACCTTTATCACCAACAGTATCTTTCCCTGTGGGTTACAGACCCCTTTTCGGGGGGGGGGGGGGGGAGGGGGAAGAGGGACAATGAATAGACCCACTGCCTGCTAACAAACGTGTCGTAAAAAGCGACTAATTAAGGATATTTCCTTCGAAGTCGCAGTGTGTCTGCCTAAAAAGTGAATAACCATCAGTCTGCATACAAATAAGCCATACCTGTAAATCGGATGTGCACTCAAAACTCAAATTAAGGAACAAAACCAAAGAGCAGAAGCCGCTACCATAGACCAAGAAGAAGAAAAACACCGACATCGTAGATGACCTGAGCATTAAGGAGCATTGGCTCATAAACAGCATCCTGCCCCGAAAACTCGGGTATTCCGGCTAACATGGTGGTCTTGGGGATTATTCGGCACATAGAGCTATTTTGAACAAAGAAGACACAAATAATAGACTGCACAATTTATTGCCTGGCATATTTCGCTGTATCTCGTCAGGTGCATACTACAGTAACAATTAATTAAAATGAAGCAAATAGCTGAATCCTAGAAACTGAAACACAAATTCGAGTACATTTCAAACTGTTTCACCAAGGTAAGCGTAGGGAAACGACCATTTCTTTTTGCCTACATAGATACGGTTTCAATCGGCCAATCGCTTAAGCTTCCGCGTATCGAAGTAATCTACGGTTAGCCGTATTACAGTCAATAGTTTATTTTCGCCAACGATATCAATGTCATCTGCATAACCAAGTACTCTTGTAGTTTCTCCTATTGTACACTCTTGTTTCAATTTCCTTATAATTTTCTCCAGGGCCAAGTTGAAAAGAAGTGGGGACAGAGCATCACCTTGCTTTGAACCAGATGTTATTTGAAGGATCTGACTTTCTGCTTTTATATATTACTATATTACAAGTGTCTTTCATACATAGTTTGGTCATGGTAATTAACTTCTTTGGTATTTCAAAGGCCTTCATATCATTCCATAAACTGTTTCTATGTACATACACTATCATAGGCCTTTTTACAATTGTGTATTTATACTGCTGGTTTTATTTTGTGACAACCAGGCACAAAGTGCGAGGTGAACATTGACGAATGTCTGTCTGCACCATGTCTGAATGGAGGATCATGTCTGGATTTATCCAATGGCTTCAGGTGTTTCTGTTCGTTTGAGTTCACGGGTGGGTACTGTGAGACTCCGGTGCAGAGCTGCGACGGAAGAATTTGCGTGTATGGAACGTGCGAGCAGAGAAATGGCGAAACAGCTTGTGTGTGTAGGCCGGGTTTTGCAGGTAATCCTTGAATCTTGCAGTTAGAAGTCTTTTTCTATTCTTCTTTCTGTTCTCTTTGCCAGTGTTTTCACCCCCTAAGTTAGAGTGCATCTGTCTGAGAGGCAAATAAACCAACAATCTGCATACACATAAGTCAGATCTGTAAAATGGATGTGCACGCAACACTCAGTTTCTGGAACAAGATTAAAGTCCAGAGGTTGACGAACAACCAAAACTTTCCGCTGGAGTTTACAGCATGTAAACGCAAAGAAGAAGAAGAAGAAGAAGAAGAAGAAGAAGAAGAAGAAGAAGAAGAAGAAGAAGAAGAAGGAGGAGGAGGAGGAAGAGGATGAGGAGGAAGAGGAGAGGAGAGGCGGAAGAGGAAGAGGAGAGGAGGAAGAAGAGGAAGAGGAGAGGAGGAAGAGGAGAGGAGGAAGAGGAGAGGAGGAAGAGGAAGTAGGAATGACGAGGATGATGACCGTGGTGGTGAGGTTGATGGTGATATCACAGGTTTCTATACGGTGAGACACGTGACTTCCACACTTCTACAGTTTGTAAACTGGCCAAAGTTGAGATCTCTTTTTAGAGACCATGTTCTGTAGCACATGTTCTGTAGCACATGTTCTGTAGCACATGTTCTGTAGCACAAAATTCTGTAGTATATGTTCTTTAGCACTAGAGACCACACATGGAAATGTTTTCAAAACATTTTTAGTCCATTTTTCACGCCTTTATAGGGCATATAGGGCTAGGCATATATTATTATAAACCAATCGGCACAAGATGGATGATGTGGTCAGCATCAAGCCGACTGCCTTTACTTCCCGGGACTGCACCCGGTACCCACTCAAAGGTTGGGTCGACCTAGGAGTCAAGGTCATTTTTGAAAAAAGTCCGGCTCCGCCAGGGAGCGAACCCACGACCTTCCGATCCGCACACGAGCGTCTAGCCGCTACGCCACGGCGTCTCGCGTTGTACTGCATATTATATAAATAAAAATGGTTTTAACTTTAAAATGTTTATTGTTCCTATTTACGAAAACTTGAGGCACAACTACTGTCTAAGGACAGATAGAAAAACTAACTGTCATTAGTTTAAAAAAAAAAAAAGCAATATTTATTTTTTTATGTTTAACACAAGCGGCGTCCTGGGCTTAGACGTTGCGAATCTGACTCGTAATTGCAACGTACCAGGATCGAAACCCACTGCTGGTTGCGTGGATTTTTATTATGGTATGGGGCGTCGCAGGTCGACCCAGCCTAAAATGGGTACCAGGATGGATGTCATGCGGAAGTAAAGACGGCTGGTGTAATGCTGACCACATTACCCACCGAGGGCTGATGGTCTGTAAAAATATGGGTGCTCTTCCCATGTGCCCGATGCGCCTCAAGGCGGGAAGATGGATCTTTACTTACTTTACTTTGTTTTACATACGGCAAATTGATTGTACAGGAAGTGGATGCAACACCAGCTACGACCTGTGCTCGTCTCACCCGTGTGTCCACGCCCAGAGCTGTCAATCATCGCCTGGCCAGTTCACTTGCCACTGCATGCCAGGTTTTACAGGTAGCATAGGTCATTATTATTTTGTAAAGTATGTCATAATTATTGCTACTTGTTAGCAGCTTCTACATGTGTTATTCGTATCAACTTTGTGCCGTCCATGCCAGACATGGGCAGTCCTAGAAAAACAAATGCAGAATTACAAAATGTGAGATAAAATGTATAAGAAATGCGGCGGGAAAAAATAAGCAGACACAACGCTACGAATGAAGAACTAAAAACAACAGTAGGCACAGTACGGATAATTTCATGCAATATCAAGGAATCAAATAGTTGGGTCATCTGGTCAAAGTGCAACAAAGTTGAGTTGAGTTGAGTCAAGAATTGACATCACAGCACTCGGGGCATTCCCATGCATGCTACGTCCTCGTCTTCAGCAGCCAGTGCAGAATTCCAATACTGATGGTACCAGTCACAATCTGGTTATATGTCCGTCTTGCATTTCCTCTGAATGTAGTGAGCCGGCCAGACCCGCTGGTTACACCCAGGTGCCTCATTCTCTGCAGGCCATAATAATCTTGTTTCTCTGCTGATTCCTTTGCTTATTCCCAAAAGGCCTTGACCACATCTGCCTTGTCATGTATTAATTCACAACCCAGTCAAGCAGATCCAGCCAATCTGTTTGTCTGTTCATTACCCCCCACGCTGGAACAGCCTGGAGAAAAGAACCAAAGTATGCTCACTACCCGTGACCTTTCCAGTGAAGCTTGCCTGTCTTCACATTTCTCATCGTGCTTTCACAGTCTGTTACAATTACGACATGTGTATGCATCTTGTTCTCTGGCCACCGGAGAGCTGCACTTACCGCCTCCACCTCCATTCTCATGCTAGATGTTGTGGTGTAGTGCAATAAAATCAACCAGCAGTTAGAGCGTACTAATGAGAACAGCATGCTACAAGGCAATAAGTCGACCAAGAAAGACATGTGTGAAAGGAGTAAAAGAGACACTAGAGAAACACCATATGACATTATCACAAGGTAGGTAACTAGTAAGTTTGAAGCTTGAACTCCGGATCAACATCATGGCCCATGGGTAGTAACCCATAAGTGATCCGTTCTTTCTTCTAACTCAAACCTGAGTCCGAAGAAGCTTAGCACAGTGCACATGCTCTGTAGCACCGGCGAGGATCCTAAAATACTTTGGTTAGATTTTTAACTCCAAATTTCTGCCCGGGCAGCTCAGTTAGACTACTCTTTTCGATTTTCAACTACCAAAGGATTTTTTTTTTTTTTTTTTTTTTGCGTGCGAAACAATGCACACGGGCGTCCGATCTCAATACTCAGAGACAAAGGGAAATACTAGAAGTCTAAGTCCACGTGAAAAAAAATCCCAACCCTTACCGGGGATTGAACCCGGAACCTTTAGCACTCAAGGAAGACACCAACTAATAAAAGACAGGAAGTTACAACTAACTTCTCTCCGCGACGCTTTGAAATATAAGCAGTATGACAAAATCAGGAGATATTTGTTAGCTGTTACTTGTTACCTGTGACTTGTTACCTGTTACTTGTTACCTGTTACTTGTTACCTGTTACTTGTTACCTGTTACTTGTTACCTGTTACTTGTTACCTGTTACTTGTTACCAATTACTTGTTACCTGTTACTTGTTACCTGTTACTTGTTACCTGTTACTTGTTACCTGTTACTTGTTACCTGTTACTTGTTACCAATTACTTGTTACCTGTTACTTGTTACCTGTTACTTGTTACCAATTACTTGTTACCTGTTACTTGTTACCTGTTACTTGTTGTCTCTATCGACATCCTAGCACATCAGTCAGACCCATACCTGCTCCGTCTTCCCATGCAGTAGCCATCTCAGTCTCTTTATGCTAATTGTAAACAGTAGAAACTGTCTGGCAAATATTGTGCCATAATTATTGGGTGGGCATTTCTTCTTTTTCATCTGTGCCTTTACCGGTCGTAAACTGGAGCGGAAAACTCTGTTTGTTGGTCCACATCTGGACTTTAGTTTTTATCCTAAAAATTATTATGAGCACATCCGTTTTACATATCTGGCTTGGTTGTTTGCAGACTGTTGGTTCCTTACCTCTGAGGTAGATTAACTCCGACTTAAAGAAAACTCCTAATTAGGCTCTTACGACATGCTTGTTAGGAAGGCAGTTGGTCTCCCTCTCCCCCCCCCCCCCCCCCCCCCCCCCCGCTGTGATGGGGTCCCGGAACCCACAGGGGGACTATGCGCATTTGAACCCAAAAACTCTGAGCCTGTAGGAAAGCGTGTGGCCACTACACCACCTCGGCTCCCTTTTTGTGTGTGGAATGAAACTTAAATTTATCTTTTTCTTCAGTTGCTCTTTTACCGTTTCGGGTGTCAATGACGATGTAATGTTCTGCTTCTTGTTCCTCCGGCTGCCTCGAGCATGGACACATCGAGCTCTTGTAGAGTTTCTCCGAGGTTGTCTGTCCATCTTGTTCTTTGTCTACCTTTACGTCCTTCTCCTTTTGGGGGTATACCAATGCAGCAGGAGAAGCTCGATGCCTGGGAGTCATGACCCAGGTCGGCCCATCCTTTGAAGCTAGCTGTCTGGGAGGTGATGTCGACGAGGTATTTTCTATTGATGATCGGGAGACTCCTGCTGTACATGCTCCCCTGTCGAGTTCTTCCTATTATTGTGTTGTTTGGCATCAGATGGCGTTTTAAGTAGCCAAACTTTTTGATTTGCTGTCTTGGTGTGTATTTTGTGGAGTGGTTGGCCGAACGGCTAAAACGCTGGGCTCTCAAGTGAGAGACACGGATTCGAATCCTCGGTAAGGCTGGGGATTTTTTCTGTCAAGGCCAAAATAAATTCTCACATACACAGTCGTGGCGACAGCACTAGCCATGAGGCCGTAAATCCTCAGACTCAAATACCCCCCCCCCCCCCGCCTACACCGCAAAGGTGGTATAAAAAAGGCAGCAACTGGCAGTAACCGAGACACTGGTGATAGGAAGACAGAAAGAAAATTTAGAAATAAAATTAAAAATTAACACCTTAAGACAAATAGAAAAATTTAAGTATTTGCAAGCAATTTTCATATCCGACGGAAAACTGGTCAGAGAAATTAGCTCGAGATGTGCCAAAGCTAATCAAGTAATGGGGCAACTATCTCCCCTGTTGACACACTAGCAAATACCTCGGAGTACTAAAGTGATTCTTATCAGAACTATTTTTTTCCCAACACTATGCTATCAGTGCTAAATGTGGACACTTACATCCTCCAATGAACGTACTTACATCCTCCAATGAACGTACTTACATCCTCCAATGAACGTACTTACATCCTCCAATGAACGTACTTACATCCTCCAATGAACGTACTTACATCCTCCAATGAACGTACTTACATCCTCCAATGAACGTAAAATTGTGACAACAGAGATGAAATGCCTTAGAGGAGCTGCAGAAGTTTCAAGGAAAGACAGAATACAAAATCATCAAATCAGAAGAATGCTAGGAATAAAGCCAGTCTTACAGGTCATCAAAGAACAACAAATGAAGTGGTTTGGACACTTAACAAGAATGCCCTGGTACTATCCGCCACAGCGAGCCACACTAAAACGTTACAACGGGTATAGAGCGAGTGGAAGACCTCGGAAAATATGGAGTGATGGCATTAAGAACAGCCTTACAGAAATTAACATCAGTCTTAATAGTGCTCTTGACAGAGCTCATCAACGAACATTACATCTCCCCCCGACACTTTGATGAGGTACAAGGTGGACGAGAAGAAGAAGAAGAAAAAGTATCTGGCAGTTTGTGGCAGTTTGTAATTTATATTCGGGCCAGTACATGCTTTTTTCTTTCATGACCTCAGTCCTGATTTGACCTCTTCTGGTCACTCCTGCAGTCTTCTCAAACATCTCATTTTCATGACAACATACCTAACAACTTCCAGGTGCAGTCTGTGATGTGGTCCTGGACTTGTGTGCCGGCTCCAGCTGCAGCCAGATCTCTACCTGTATCCCAGCTCCCACAGCTCAGCTCGGCTACCTGTGCAAATGTCCTGGCGGTTGGTCGGGTGTCTTTTGTAATGAGAGTGAGTACATTAGTGTCTTTTGTAACGGGAGTGAATACATTAGTGTCTATTTTAGTGATGTGAGTACATTAGTGTCTTTTGTAACGGGAGTGAATACATTAGTGTCTATTTTAGTGATGTGAGTACATTAGTGTCTTTTGTAACGGGAGTGAATACATTAGTGTCTATTTTAGTGATGTGAGTACATTAGTGTCTATTTTAGTGTGTATTTTTTTAGATGTAAGTACATTGGTGTCTTTATGTTACGTATTTTTAATTCTAAGGTTACATTAATTTTAACATACCTGAGTGAACGTTGGAGAACAATTAAAGATTTGGAACGAAAGTTAGAGAACAATTAGAGATATGGAACGAAAGTTAGAGAACAATTGAACGACAGTTAGAGAACAATTAAAGATATGGAACGAAAGTTAGAGAACAATTGAAGATATGGAACGAAAGTTAGAGAACAATTAAAGATATGGAACGAAAGTTAGAGAACAATTAAAGATATGAAACGAAAGTTAGAGAACAATTAAAGATATGGAACGACAGTTAGAGAACAATTAAAGATATGAAACGAAATTTAGAGAACAGTTAAAGATATGGAACGACAGTTAGAGAACAATTAAAGATATGAAACGAAAGTTAGAGAACAATTAATGATATTGAAAGAAAGTTAGAGAACAATTAATTATATAGAACGAAAGTTTAGAGAACAATTAAAGATATGGAACGAAAGTTAGAGAACAATTAATGATATTGAA